CCAAAATTTCTTTGCAATTTTACATATCCACCACATATGGTAAAATGACCCTTCTTGTTGGTTACATTTCCAACAAATGTTGGAAATTGTAAGTGTTAATGGACCATTTCTGATGCAGCATAGCCTGGTAAGCCTAGTGACATCTAGAGAGAGAGAGAGAGAGAGCACAGAAACAGACTCGCAAAATGAATGATTCTCAGTTTCACACTGCCCATTTACAATGATTCCATGGAGTATTAAAGGATGGAAAACAAAACAAAACGATGCTAATTTTACCAGCTATCTGTCCAAGTTTGATGTGGTGTATGTGATATGGGTTGAGATGATTTCAGTTGGTACTACAGGTAATCCTCGCTAAATGACCATTTGTTCAGTGACTGTTTGAAGTTACGGCAGTGCTGAACGAATGACAGCTAGACCCAGTCCCCGAAGTTACTGCTGTAGCAGCGCCCCTGTGATCACATGATCAAAATTCAGGCTCTTGGCAGCTCCCCTGCACTTATGACCAAGGGGGTGCTTCAACTCCCCCCACCTATCTCTCCCCGCATCTCTGCCCTTCTGGCTGCCCTGCACTCTGCCACCCCCCGCTGACCTTCACTGTCTTCTTCCTCCTGCTACTTATGCGCACGCCTGGCCTGGTTCGTGAGACAGCTACTGGCCACGCCAGGCCTTCTTCCCAAGGCCGTATGTGCCCTTGTACAAATTGCATGCGGCCTTCTCACGAAGCTTTCAAATTGGACAAGGGCCGCATGAGATTATTCAGATTAAGATCAAGATTATTAAGATTATTCAGACCAAGTGTTTAAAGGAAACATCCTAGGTGGTAAACTGTATAATCCAAATGCAGAAGCAGGCATAATAAAGGTGGAAACTAGGGTCTGGATGATTTGGTTAAAAGTGAATTTCTTATCATTAGTCCTGGCCCCTTTAACACTGGAACATCTTGGTTCAGAAGATGAACCAGAAGGTGGAGCAGAAAATGCTGTAGCGAAGATTTCTCCCTAGATGGAATAAGCTACAACCAAGTAAGAGAAATGCTAAGCAGACTTACAAAGACACATAGGAAGATGAATCTCCACAAGGGCAGTACTGGGACTGGTTACATAATTCCCAGGTGGCACAGTATCTTTTCGGGAGTATCACAGTGTTCATCCTTATGTGTTTTAACATTCCCCCCTCTGCAGTTCTCAGATAGATGTAAGAACATTCTGTTCAGTGACTCTGCCCGTGAGGGAAGTAAGTGATGCAAACATGGTCCACATTTTTCTATGCTGCCTCTTCTGTATGGCCATTCACAGCATCAGGACAGGCTGTGACAATAAAACTTTCCAAGTGTTCCAGATGTAAACATTCCACTAAGAGATAAAGACTCCAAGTTCTCCTGGTCAATAGTAAAATTCTGTTTGGCAATTGCTAAATATGGCACTGTTGCAAGGCAAACCAAAATGTAGGAAGTAAGAAATCAGTGCTCTTTTCTTTTATTATTGTATCTTACATTGATCTGAGGACATGTATCTTTTACTTTGTATTACTATTTGAAGTACTGTAGTATGAGAATCTTTGATGCTAGTCTGTACCCTTAATAAAGTTTATTGTTCCTTTATTTATCCTATTGTTTTGAAAACTGACCATAAGATTAGAAAATATTATTTCATACATTTGCATCTCATCTTTCCTCTAAAGCTAAGATGGGAATCTGCAGTACACTAAGTAATTAAAATATGGATGTAACAACATCCAGGGACTTCTAGGCCTGCTTTAAAGCCAAGAGGTGAGTGCAAAACGTTGTTTGAAGTCACCAAAAGAAATTTAGATTATGAAAATGGCAGGAGAACTGTTGTGGAAAAAAAGGACCTAACTTCTGCTTTAGTCAGAAATATACAAGATAATATACTTGTATAAACCTCACTGTAAGGCTGACAAGCCTCCAAACATGTTGGTTGGCACTGTTGAGCTTATGAGAATATAGTAGTTTGTCAATTCTTGTACAGGTAGTCCTTGCTTATCAACTGCCTTGTTTAGCAACTATTCAAAGTAACAACGGTGTTAAAACCAGCTCTGCAACGAATCCTCACATTTATGACCATCACAGCATCCCAAGGTCACCATTTGCATGCTTCCCAACCAGCTTGCGACAGCAGTTAACGGAAAATGCGGAAGTAAAATTGTAGGTCATGGTCATGTGGTGTTTCACTTAATGACTGCGGTGACTTGCTTAATGACTGAATGGGAAGTGATGTCATAAGTCCATTGCAACCACATGATTTTCTGCTTAGCAACAGTGCCACTTAGCAATGGAGTTGCCAGTCCCAATTGTCGTCGCTAAGCAAGCACTACCTGTATAAAGCTATTTTTCTAGGAAAATGAAAATTAGTAGGGAAATACAAAATAAATTTTCCTACAATAGAATTTTGAATAAAACTCATCCCATAGAGAATTCTACCAGAACAAAATCCCATATTCTTTAATAAGACATCTAAAGAATCTTAAAAATGATCAGATATCACATCCTATTTAAATACCACTATATTAATTTAACTGTGTTTTGAGTTACTCAGAGCTCAATGTTGAATAACAACATAATATAATCCCTGACAGAATCTTCATGACTTAACCTTCATGATATCAAGAGTGATAATGATAGAGTTCTAATACCTCTGTATTTCTATCCTTATGATAGAAAGAGTGGTGGGAGGCGCCAGGAACATGCAAATATGAAACGTGTCAGCCGCTCCTAGTCATTGAGTGTCAGGCAGCATATAATTTTAATTGATTATGATTATGAGTGGTTTATGAAACTTTCTAAGTCATAATGTGGTCCAGTTTTGATTTGGAGTATTGTGTAAACCCAGCCCTTCTGGCTTGCAAGCCATGGTTTAGGGCTAAATGTTATATAACCCCAGCTTTTTTAGATAGACAGACATGCTCAGGAAGCAATAACTAACATTTGGTAACTGCTTACAATTCTGTTTTTATAAATTACTGTTATAGAACTATCATCAGATAATTATCTCAGTGATTTATTTTATTCGCATATTAATGCTAAAGCCAGGTTTTCACATCATGCCATACTACGCTGTGGTTTTGGATCATGGTATTGTTGGCAGCTTATTGCTTAACATGTAGAAACTCAGACAATTATTATTTAATATATAATTGATAGTTAAACAAATCATAGCTTAGTGTGATGTATGAATCAGTTCAAATAGTTCAGAAAGATTAAAAAAAACTTTTTATAAGAAGCATAAATTATATGCTTTAGGCACCACCTTACAAAAGCAGTTTCTTCATGCATCTGCCACCCTTGTACATAGGTGGTTCATTGGCAGTGAGAAAATATGCCTGCTGCTTAATTACAGACAAGTTAATAAAAGGATTTTAATTGATTAATCTAGTCAATTAATCTACAAAACGCTGCAGCCTACATTTAAGAAACAGAATATAAAAACAGGCAAGGCACCCCAAGTGTCACTGAAAAAAAAATCCTAAACCATACTGGAGTTGGATTATTGGAATTTAGAATTCAGTGAAAATGCATCAACGTGATTACAGTTAGTTTCTATCATGCTATTTTTGAAATAAATAATATTCTTACAATCAAATAAGAAAAGGTGAACATATACACTGTGATAACTAAACGTAATGTAATTTTCAATTTAATTATTCTCTTCTAGGGATGATGGTGGGGAGATAATAATTGAAACTTTATGCTTATTACTACTCACTAAAGTACATTTTCCTTCCTTGACAAGAAGGCTGTCAAAACAAATAATTATGGAAATGCTCGAAATAGTTTGAAAGAAGACAGGAGCTGTCACAAAAAGTTTCTTCTTTTTAACATTTCACCTTGTATCCAACTGTGCAATTCAAAAGCCACTTAGTTTTTATTACCGCATAGCAAACACACAGCACATTAGAAATGAAAAGCAGTTATTTACCGTACTTTCTATTTTCAACCATTTTCAGACTCCCCACACCAGCTAAGAAACATATGACTGTAATGAATTCAGTTTCATATTAAAATCTACCTCCTGAGGACTTTTTCATTAAAAAAAAAACAGTTTTGGGAAAAAAATCAACAGACTTATTTTACTGTAAGAAGTTCACTCGTCTTTCACACACCAAGCGTTTGGCTTACAGTATTCCAATGAGAAACAGGGAATCTAACTGAATGTAACATAGAAAAACCTGTCAAAAAGCCCAGCAGACTTTTATTTAGACAGAAGTTATGGTTCAGGATGCACAGAAGAAGGAGAGGTAACTAAGAACAGAGACATGAACAAAGAGATTGGAGGCCAAATCTTTTGCCTCTGACCACTTCTCAACTCGAAATAACACCCCAAGCTGGTGGTGATTACCAGGGATAATATGCATTCGTGGCATTCCAGGGAAGTATTATTATCATTATTAGCAATTAGATAGAACCCATTTGGCCAACTGTCTCCATACCTTGGATTTCATGACTTAAAAAAAAAAAAAAGATACAAGGAAAAAGGCTGTATGTTCTCCTGAAGTTAACAGCTCTTGAAAAGGTATCTTGTAACAGCCATCCTGAACCCACATCCTCCAAATGTGTTGGACAGCTCTTCCTACCTCTTCGAGCCCTTATGGTCATTGGCCACAGACAGTGGACATACTGGGAGTAGGAGATCAATATATCTAAAGGGGCCATGCTATTGGAAGGTATTTTATGCTAAGACACATAAGAAAATTAAAACTGAACACATCTACAGTAATATGATTTCTTGGAATCATACTGGAATGGAATTACTGCTGGTAGCAGAAACCATTCTTTTTCTTGCAATTTTCCTTTTTTATCTGAAGTCTTTTGCTTCTTTTCTCTTGCTTTTCTTGATTTAACAACATTGCTATTTTTAGTATGGCAGATACCAGGACAGTGTTGAGGAAGTGTTGAGGAAAACATTCCAAATATCACTACCAGAGCTTTCCTCAATTCAACACACTAAGTGTCACAATGACACTAAGCTATATTCAATATTCTCAATTGCTTGTTTGTTTTCGGCTTAGTGTAATGTATGAACCATTCATTCATTCATTCATTCATTCATTCATTCATTCATTCATTCATTCATATATATTACATTCTGTTAAGTCAACGGACTCATGACATTTTGCAGCAATCCAATAAAAAGCATACAACCAATTAAAACATCCACAGTGAGCATCATTTAAAATCAAAATTGTAATCAGTATAGAATAACAGCAACAATAATAGTAATAATAAGGAAAAATAAATAACACGACCAAAGTACAAGATAAATAAGTAAAACAGTTAAATTTAAATTTTAAACATGTAGACAATCAACTAGTCACCAATGTTTACAGAAGAGTTCCATCTCAAGCAGCTTCTGGAACATTAACAGAGATGGCATGAGTTTTAATCACAAGGCAAGGCTATTCCCTATTTCTGGAGGAACAACCAAGAAAGAGCACCTCCTGGTCTCCATTTTCCCCTCCCTCGCAAAAGTAGGGTATAACCAGAAGCTTCTAAAAACATACCAGAAGGGCCTATTCTGATAGGTGAAGGCGATCCTGCAGGTACCTGGGCAAGGGCACCAAGCCATATAGGACTTTATAGGTTTAAATCAGTACTTTGAATTATACCTGGAAACCTACTGGAAAGCAATGCAGGGCTCAAAACACAGCTGTAATATTCTCTTGGCAGGTAATACCCACCAACAATTTGTACCAACTGCAGTTTCCAGTGGTCTTCAGAGGCAGCCCCACATAGACTACATTGCAGCAGTCTATCAGGAAGTGATGAGGGCATAAATTACTGTTAGTTAACATGCAAGAAAAGCCACTATAGCTTGTTAAATAAGTCATAATTAAAAAAAAACACTCAGCGTTATATGAAAACATAGCCCATATACATTTATTACATTTATATAAAGTATAAATGTGGGGTGTAGCAGTTGTCATCCAAGAATCTCTGTCGGCCTTCAGGGCCACTGCTTCCCAAGTGGCCGGTTGTAAGACCCTGTTTCTGAAGATAGGCTTGTGGGATCAGTTTGGATTGTTGCTACTGTACCAGCCTCCCTGCTGTATAGCAACTTCCCTGCCCAAGCTGCTGGAGGCCATCTTGGGGTTGGCTGTGGAGTTCCCCAGGCTTATGGTCTTGGGGGTCATCAATTTGCCATCCCTTGGGCAGGCCTCGGAAGCAGCTCAGGAGTTCGTGGCCACCATGGTGCCCATGGGCCTATCCCAGTCATTCATGGCCCAACTTGAAACAGTGGTCACACACTGTACATGGTTTTCTTGTCTCAGCGGTGGCAATGTGATCTGATGGGGGAATTATCTTTGTCTCCCTTGTCATGGTTGGATCACAGCCTGGTTACTTTGCAATTCTCTTGTGCTACTCCCCTCTGCAGGGAGGCAGGACCTATTTGATGGGTCCACCTCTAGTGACTGACGGACCCAGTGGAGTTCCAAAGGCAGCTGGGGGCTATTCCTGAGGTTCTGCTGTGCCATCCTGCTGAGGTGTTGGCTGCTACCTAGAATAGGAAAGCGGCTGAGGCCTTAGACAGGATCATGCCCATGCAACCTCTCTTGGCCCATCATTCCCGTCACTCCCTGTGGTTTACAGAGGAATTGAGGGAAATGAAAAGGATCATGAGATGAGGGAAGAATCCGACCAGACACAAATTAGAGCTGCTATTAAGACCTACCTCATGGTGATAAGAATGGCAAAACATTATTTCTCCGCTCTTATTGCATCCACAGAGTGTCACCCGGCGGCCCTGTTTAGGATTACCCAGACCTTCCTGTGTAAGGGGGGGCTCAGAGCCTTCAGGGCTGTGCAGAGGAATTTGCTGGACATCCGATGGATAAAATCGCTCAGAATGCACTCCAAGCTGGAGGCCAAGCGTGGTGCAGGTCTTTTGGAGATGCCCAGAGAGCTTACTTGCCTGGTTATCTGGGAACAATTTGATCCTGTTGGGCCCAAAAAAGTGGGCAGGGTCCTTGGGTCTGTAAGTGCAACCACCTGCGTGTTAGATCCATGCCCCTCCTCGTTGGTCAAGGCCACCCAGGAGGTGACATGCGGGTGGGTTTGAGCAATGATCAATTCATCCTTGAGAGAGGGGGGTGTTCCCAGCAACTTTTAAAAAGGTTCTGGTTTGCCCTCTCTTCAAGAAGCTGTCGCTTGACCCCACCATTCTGGACAATTTTTGTCCAGTCTCTCACCTCTCCTTTTTGGGGAAGGTGGTAGAGAAGGTGGCACTGCAGCTCCAGAGGATCCTGGATGAAACATTTATCTGGACCCTTTCCAGTTGGGTTTCAGGCCTGGACAGGGGAAGAAACGGCATTGGTTGCACTTGTAGATGACCTCTGGAGAGACTGAGATGGGGGTAATGCATCTATCCTGGTTCTTCTTGACCTCTCAGTGGCTTTTGATACCATTGACTATGGTATCCTTTTGGGTCGGCTGGAGTTGGGGGTGGGTGGCACAGTATTGTGCTGGTTCACCTCCTTCCTCCAAGGCCAGTCCCAATCAGTGTTGGCAGGGAGCAAGAGGTCCAGCCCATGGCCCCTGCTCCATGGGGTGCTGCAGGGCTTGGTACTTTCTCATCTCCTATTTAACATCTACATGAAGCCGCTAGGTGAGATCATCCATCACCATGTGTTGAGGCATCATCAGTATGCTGATGATACTCAAGTATACATCTCTGTCCCAGGTGAATTAAGTGATGTTGTGGATGTTCTTTCTTGGTGCCTGTAGGCTGTGGGGGTCTGGATGTGGAAAAACAGGCTTCAACTGAACCCTGGCAAGATGGAGTGGCTCTGGGTTCAGGGCTCCTCTGTATCTGGGTTCTTACCATCTTTGGTTCTGGATGGGGTGGCACTGCCCCAGATGGACCTGGTGCACAACTTGGGGGTCCTCCTGGACTCATGACTCCTGCTCAAGGAGCAGGTGGCAACTGTGGCTAGGAGGGCCTTTGCTGAACTTCATGTTTTGCACCAGTTGTACCCTTTCCTGGATAGGGAAATTCTTCTCTTGGTCACTCAAGCCTGGTCATCTCCCATTTGGATTACTGCAATGTGCTCTACATGGGGCTACCCTTGAAAAATATCCGGAAGCTGCAACTAGTGCAAAATATGGCAGCATAAGCAGTTATGGGCACCTCTAGGGCTGCACATGTAACACATGTTAACACATGTAACATGTGAGCTGCATTAGGTGCTGGTTTGCTTTCAGGTCCGATTCAAGGTGTTGGCATGGGCCCAGGTTATTTGAGGAACTGTCTCATCCCAGTTACATCCGCCCATCCCACCCAGTCCGGCAGGAAGGACATGTTGCGGACCCCATCGGCTAAAGAATTCTGACTGGTGGGGTCAAGGAGAGCCTTCTCTGCCATTGCCCCTGCCCTGTGGAACATCTTCCCCCCTGAGGTGAGAGCAGTCCCCATTCTCCTTGCTTTCTGGAAGAATATGAAGACCTGGCTCTGCCACCTAGCATGGGGATCTAATGGGGGCTCACAGCACTGGGGTGGTTGGTAGTTTGATGTCGCTTCCCTTATCTTTTAACTCTGTATTTAAATATTTTGGTAATTTTTTTAATTGTTTTTATTATTTTATGTGTAACCCGCCTAGAGTCCCTTGCATAGTGAGATGGGCAGTGTATAAATTGGATAAATAAATAAACCCCATCTTTCTTTGACATGGCCCTCATGACTGGATTAAGATATGGAAGCCAACCAAAAGCTACTTCATTAGTCCATGGAAGGAGCACTTGAATGTGATTGTCCTTATTCCCAGTCCAAGAACTGAACCCATACAAAAAACTAGTTCTTTACTAAGACAGCATCTCTCAGAATCTCCTGCCAGCACTGGGGAATGTTGGGAATGAAGGTTCCAGCATATTTGAAGGATGCCAGATTTGGGAAGTATGCTGTAATGGATCCAGGACTCATCCATTAACATCCTAATGTATTTCGGCCACTTTTCCCATTCAAAACCTTTGCAACTTCTACAGTTATTTTTGTTTGATTGTTTGTTTCTTAGGTTGGTTGTATGCTGCAGATACAGAACAGTGAATATAAGAACAGAGGAAGAGAGCAGGAAAATAACAAGTTCTTTTTGTTAGTAACTCATAGAGTGATGTTCCCAGGAAAATAGTACTAAGTATACTGGCAAGATCTGGGAATGAATCTGTTGGGGCAATAAGTGAGACAATAAAACAAAGGCTCAACAAAATATAATAATTGACATTTCAAATCCTTTCCTCATCTCCCAAAAAGTAGGAAGTGGGGGAGGATAATTTGTCACTTGCCTCAGTGAAAGATGTGGGCAGGGAGATTTGCTATAGAACGACTTCAACAAGAAATATGGTCAAAAGCACCCCCTCTTCAATAGCTGTCAAAGAGCATTTACTGTATCAGCAGTGTTGTCAGAGGCTGTCTAATACAGAAACCAAATCAATCTATCTGGCAGCCATTTTAGAAAAAAATAAGATGTCTTAATAATAATATCAAGATACAAATGACCTGCCACACAGATTTACACATGCCTTAGAGAAGGGGGCAGGAAAAGGAATAGGTAATTTCTTTGGACTAGGTTTGCCTTTCAGATATTAAGATCACTTATGCTTTAAGTTCAACAACAGTAATACACACACATACACACACACACACACACACACACACACTTCGTATATATTCCAGCACCACTTTTCTCCAACTCTTTTAGGACAGATGTATCTGGCAAAGAAGGAGCAATGTTGCCATTAGCTGTAAGCTGGAAAGAATGCCATTTAACTATTCCAGATACTTCTAGCTTTAGGGGACCAGAAGAGAAAACTGGGAGACTCCACAAAAAAATCTCCCCAGAATTATAAGTACTATAGAATCTTTTGGGGGCCCTCGAGGGCCAGAGATAGATATAGAAGCCATGGAATGATCTTTATTGTTCCATTTCAAAAACAACAACCATACTGGGATGACAATAGTGGATACAAGGCTGAATGGATAAGGCTGGAGTTCAGCCTGGGACACTTCTTCCAATGACTTCAGGTAAGACAGGATTTCAACCTCATGTTATCCCTTTAAATGGTGTATTGTAGGCAGACTAATAGAAGTACAATGGTACCTCTAGTTACGAACGCCCCTCCTTACGAATTTTTCGAGATACGACCAGCTCCGGCCCCAAAAATTTACCTCGACTTGCGAACTCACCTCAACTTACGCACTGGATCCGTGGCCATTTTCTGCCCATTCCACATGGTCCACGGCCACTTTCCCACCCGTTCCACGTGGTCCGCGGCCATTTTCTGCCTGTTCCACGTGGTCCGCGGCCATTTTCCGCCCGTTCCATGTGCTCCACGGCCATTTTCCACCCGTTCCACGTGGTCCGCGGCCATTTTCTGCCTGTTCCACGTGGTCCGCGGCCATTTTCCGCCCGTTCCATGTGCTCCACGGCCATTTTCCACCCGTTCCACGTGGTCCGCGGCCATTTTCTGCCTGTTCCACGTGGTCCGCGGCCATTTTCCGCCCGTTCCATGTGCTCCACGGCCATTTTCCACCCGTTCCACGTGGTCCGCGGCCATTTTCTGCCTGTTCCACGTGGTCCGCGGCCATTTTCCACCCGTTCCACGTGGTCCACGGCCATTTTCCGCCCGTCCCACGTGGTCCGCGGCCATTTTTCCGCCTGTGCCGCGTGGTCCGTGGCCATTTTACGCCCGTTCCACGTGGTCCGTGGCCATTTCTCCGCCTGTTCCACGTGGTCCGCGACCATTTTTCCGCCTGTTCCGCGTGGTCCGTGGCCATTTTCCGCCCCTGACACGTGGTCCGTGGCCATTTTTCCGCTCGTTCCACATGGTCCGCAGCCATTTTTCCGCCCTGCCGCGTGGTCCGTGGCCATTTTTCTGCCCCTGGCGCGTGGTCCGCGGACGCCGGAACGGATTAACGGTAATTACATTGAACCTTATGGGAAAAT